TTCGTAATAACTATTTGTAATAACTGTTATTGTAATTTATATTGTTGTGTGTATATTAACACGTATTTGTGTTTAAAAAAAGAAAACTGTGTGTATCAATCTTGTTGGCAAATATCATAAACTGACTATATATCGGCTTTTATTTAACTGCTAAATCTAAAGTACAATTTAACTACTAAATCTAAATTACAAGTTAACTCAATTTCAGACTATTTGAAATTCTAATATGTAACAACTAAGAAATATGATTTATTTGTATGTGAAAGACTTGTAATATTAACTGAAAGACTGCCAAATTTCGTGAAGATATACGCACTATATTGAGAGTTATAAATATTAAGTGTACAAAGACTTTAAACGAGTACAAAAAGGTCACGTGGTGGGTCAAATTGACCGAGCTCATATTTAGAGAGTTAAATGAACATTATTGTTCAGAGTACTGTAACGTTTATTATAGTAATGAATGTCTCAAAAGTCAATCTGTTGTCTGTTCCGATTGTAATAGATTTTGTAAATCTGTAGAATCTGTTACAATCGACATAAATCAATGAATGGTAGAGAAACGAAATCTTCGTGTGATAAATTTTACTAGTGCAAGAATTGTTTTGTCATTATTTACAGAAAGAAATGTAATCCTAAATTTCATCATTGTGGCGAATACATTTGTGAAGGATGTAAATCATATGTCTTAAACAACCATTTATGTTTTTACAAGACAAAGATGTCAAAGATCCGCCAAATAAATTTTAATTTTTTGATTTTGAAACAAATCAAGAAACAGGGATTCATCACGTAAACTACTGTGTGGTCGATGATTTTAATGGTAAGGAAAACGTTTTCAAAAGATATAATTCATGTGACAAATTCTGTAAATTCTTATTTTCAAAAGAACATAAGAAATATACAGCTATAGCACATAATATGAAAGGTTTTGATGGTCACTTTATTTTGAATTATCTTAGTCATCAAGGGATAAAACCTGAGATTATTGTAAACGGCAGAAAAATCATGATAATGACCATCAAAAGTCTCGGAATAAAGATAACTGACAGCTACAATTTTATACCCATGTCTTTGTCATTGTTTCCAAAACATTACGATCAGAAGAACTGCAGAAATGATATTTCCCTCATCTTTTCAACATCAAGTCAAATCGGGAATGTCGAGGACCTATCCCAGATGCCAATTTTTACTTTCTTGACACAATGTCAGCACCCTTAAGACAAAAGTTTCTGGATTGGCACTGTCAGCGACGAGAAAATGAGTACATATGTGATTTCTAAGATGAGATGTACAGGTAAGAAAAAACTATCATTGTTAATTTTGTTTTGTTGTTTGTATAAAAATGTTTTGTTGAAAAAATAAAAACTATCAATATTGATTCTTATTAATTGTGTTTCGTTGTTGTTGAATGTTATATTTATAATTGTTTATGTTTCTTTAGATACTGCTGAACAGGTGTAGATATACTTCAATGGTTCTGTCTCCAGTTCAGGGATGAGATTCTTGCAATCTGTGATGTAGACCCATTTAGGTATACGACGATTGCTACTGTGTGCATGTCTGTTTACAGAAGTAAGTTTATACCACTATAGTCAATAGCTCTAATACCTAACCATGAATATTATACGACCAACAACTACAGTCAAGTAAGTATTCAATGGTTAGGCAATATGCAAAAATCTGATGGGGTAAAGATTGAACATGCACTTAATGGTGGTGAGAAACAAATCCTGAATTATAGGGTAGGCGGTTTTTGTATGGAACAAAACACCATCTATGAGTTGTACGGTTGTTATTATCATGGGTTTCATAAATGTTAGGATTCTGACACAAAGAATATAGTTTTAAATACACCCACGTGGTTTATAAGAAATCGTACTCTTGAAAAACAAAAATAACTGGAAGGTCTAGGATACAAAGTCGTAATAATATGGGAGCATGAATTCAAGAAATTGAGAACTAATGACACTGGTTTAATGAATTTTCTTAGGGACCACACAGTAGTTCCTTGCCTAGGTGTACGAGACTCCTTCTATGGAGGAAGAGTTAATGCTACAAGACTTTTATACGATATAAAAGAATGAGAAAAATCAAGTATCTGGATTTCACATCTCTATATCCATGGACTAATAAATATTGTGAATATCCTGTTTGACATCCAACAATTATAACGACTACTTTTTTACTTTAAATAAATATTTTGATTTCATTAAATGTAAAGTTTTAGCCCTGAGGAAACTTTATCATCCTGTATTACCTCTGAGAAGTAACGATAAATTGACTTCCCTCTGTAAAACGTGTGACGATTTAAGAATATCACCATCATGTAATAATTTCGATGATGAGAGAGCTTTTATCAGCACATGGGTTACCGAGGAGGTGAGAAAGCAGTCGAATGTAACTATAAGATAATACAGATTTATGAAATTTACCATTTCCCTGAAAGATCCATACAACTGTTAAAAATTATATAGACACATTACTAAAAATAAAACAGGGAAGTTTAGGATGGCCCTCTTACTGTGCTACATCAGATGCAAAACAGGAATGTATTGAACAGTATGCTGAAAAGGAAGGAGTGCAACTGACCCCTGAAAACATAGAATTTAATCCAGTAGAAGGTCACTTGCAAAACTTTGTCTTAACTCTTTCTGGCATCGTTGGGGTATGTCTGAGGACAAATCATATCTGACTTACGTAACTTCTGTTAGGTTCGTCTATTTTGTATTATAATACAGACAGTATTGTCTACATTTCAGACAAATCTAATGATCCACCTCTAGGAGATTATCTTGGAGAGTTTACAGACGAGCTGGATAGACAGTATATAACATTGTGGGCCAGTGGTGGTCCAAACAACTACGGTTATTTATACAACGATCAAAAATTATGCTGTAAGAGCAAAGGGTTTACCCTTAATTTTATCAACAGTGAAAAAATAAATTTTTCATCAATAAAATGTATGGTAACTGATATATTCAGTCCTTTTCAGTCTCCTATAACTGTGATTAACAATAAGAAGATTTGCAGAAGTTTTAAAATGCAGACCATTTACAACAAAGAAGAAAAGAAGAATTATCATTCAGTTTACACCAAACGACACACCCTTCCAGACTGTTGTTGGGGGTGGTTCCTAAATGTGCTCAAACATGATCTATATAAGGTGAGTTACATTAAAATTTTTTCTCATTAGAGTTCAAGATAGATAACCGTCTACTACACCCTTTTACGTGTTTAGTGTCAGGTCCGACAGGAAGTGGTGAATCACAGTTTGTAAGTAAAGTTTTAATGTATCATCATTGTTTAGTGTCAGGTCCGACAGGAAGTGGTGAATCACAGTTTGTAAGTTAAGTTATAATGTATCATCGTGAAGTGATTTATCCTATTCCTGAAATCATTGTATGGTTTTATGGTGAATTTCAACCATTGTATACAAAAATAATGCAAAACATTCCCAGCATAAAATTTGTCGAAGGCTTACCTGAATATTTTCATGATTATTTACAGTGTGATAAGCCAAATCTTTTTATCATTGAGATCTTACGAGTGAAAGTGGAGAAAATAAACAAGTGTCTCAACTTTTTACACCTGGAAGTCACCATTTGAATTTATCAGTGCTTTATATTGTACAGAAGCTATTTCATCAGGGTAGAGAAATGTGTAATATTAGTTTAAATTCTCAATATAATATTCTGTTCAAAAATGTCAGTGACAAATCTCAGTTGAATGTTTTAGCAAGACAAATGTTTCCATTGGGTATCAAATATTTTGAAGAAGCTTGTCAAGCTGCAACGAGACAACCATATCGTTACTTACTCACTGACTTGAAACCTCAAACGCTTTAACAGAACCGTCTGTGGACCGGACTTTTTCCTGAAGATAAAGTTATAGTGTACGTACCAAAGTAAGTTAAACATATTGTTTAACTGAATATATATCCATTTATTAACATGACAGCAACTGTAGTAGAAGTAGAAGGGTTTTATCTGAAGGATAAGCCATATGTAATTAAGGAACTTGCATTTAAATGTTTAGTCACTGGATATATAAACATGTTTTTGTTTAAACAACTGTTTTCAAGTAAATATCAGATGCTGATCGTCCTCAATGTAACTGGGTGACACGGCACATTCATAGTATTGTTACGTCTCTGGTTGTTTGTTAATTTCCGATATAAATTCTTCCCGAGGAACTTTAGCGACACAAGTCCTTTCTTAAATAAAACTAGTTTATTCTTTCTCAATACAACTTTGCAATACACAGAATTTCCACAGTCACTTTAACTTCAACACACGCTATAATTCACAATGATTCACGCACTTCACTTACGGTCACTACGGCTCGCTTGATTCAGTTATCTGTCTCTATATCTCTCTATCTGCTTTCTATCTCCGCTTTATTTGCCGGGTTTATATACAATAAAAGAGGGCGCCTAGAAAAGACTAGAGCTGCCAGGAAAAGTCAAGATCCTTCGAGAATCTCATGACGTGTTACCAGGGTCACGTGACTTCCGCTGTCGTAACAGTATTTTGGTAATATCGACTATACTTACCTGTGAGAAAGAACTGTTGAGAGAGAATTTTACAACTTTTATACAAAGGGGGAGAGAGTGAAATCCGAGATATTGACAAGTCTGTTGAAAATTACTTGTTACAATCTGGAATTGTTTGGATGCCCCAAAGTTAATCAGTTAATAAATTTCGAGAAATTGAGTTACCGTTTTAGAGATCGACGAACAATGGCAGGCTGATTTGGTGGACCTCTTTAAGTCAGTATAACAATCAGTTTAAGTTTTTACTCACGTGTATCAACGTGTTTTCTAAATATGCATGGGTTGGCCCACTCAAAGATAAGAAAGGTACAACACTTGTAAAATCTTCCAAACAAATTTTAAAACAGGGTCGAAAACCTTGTAAACTTCAAACCGATGCTGAGACAGAGTTTACTAATCGTCTCTTTCAACGATATCTCAAGGAACGAGGCATTCATTTCTTTTCTACACATAACGAAACAAAAGCACCTAGTGTAGAAAGATTTAATCACATTCTTAAAACTGTAATGTGGCACTACTTTACTCATCGTGGAACATATAAATATATCACTGTATTGATAGATCTGGTCAGTGTCTATAATCATTGTATCATCTCAGCATTAAAATCAGACCAGTAGATGTCAATCACTAATCAGTCTGTGATGTAGAAAACACTTTACAAACCATCCACTAAAGTAAAATTTCCGTTCAATGTAGGTGCCAAGTACGTATTAGTAAACTGAAGCATCAGTTTAAGAAAGGTTATATGCCTGAATGGACAGACAAAATACTTACGATTTACCAGATAATAGAGAGAAATTCACCAGTGTATAAACTGCAAGACTATCTCGGATAAAAATTAAATGGGACATTTTACGAATCGGAACTACAAAGAGTTATAAAGTCGCTTGATGAGGTCTATGCTGTTGAAGAAATATTACGTCAGCGTGGAAGTGGTAAATTTTGTAAAATGGAAAGGATATCCTGATAAATTTAATAGTCGGATTCCTCAAACAGATCTGTATCGTCTGCCGTCTTAAAATGTCTAACTCTGTTTTTCATTATTCAACATGGATCAATTGTATGTGACGTTACCTGGAAACAGTTCTAAGAATTATTTTGCTGATAATACTCTGACAAACTATATCACTCATCTTCCGAGGTCTATCAACCATGAAGGATCGTGGGAAGTTGCCTTGGCAGAACTACAGTATACACAAAGTTGGCATAATGTACCTGATGGTACAAGCTGGATCAGCTTATTACCTACCTCTGATGATCACAATAAAATCATTTATATTAGACCTGGTCATTACAAAGAACCTGAAGATTTAATTAGAATACTAAACAGATTAGATGAGTTAGCTTAGAATCTGACACATATCCTGTATTTGATTACGATTCATTCACCAGAATTGTAAGTGTCAATAAGAAAGAAAGACACTCTGTATTATTTGATCATGTACTATTTGTAATACTAGGATTTTAGAATAATCATATAATATGAGAACCCACTATAGCTCAAAAGTACTATCAATGTATATGAAGGATTTTATTCACTTTTTGTTTTCTCAGATATTGTGGAACCTGGTATTGTCGGAGACGCACATATGCCACTTAAGAATCGTTAATGGAGACACGATCACTGAAACGTTTACGAAACCTCATTACAGATCTGTATTTAAAAAGAGATTTCAGACAATTGAAATAGATATAAAGGAAGACATGGGTCACCGTATACCACTTGAACATGGGAGAGTCATCATTACACTTCACTTCTGTCGTCGTCATGAAAGTACCTTACAATAACGATCAGTGAGTTTATGACACATATTACGATTACCAGGTGGGAAATGGATTACCATATTTTGCTGGTAGTCAATGGCGCCAAGGTCACAGTTTGGGAGATGTTTTAAGCAAGCTATTTTATTCAGCCATAATTTTCTGAAAAAAGGGGAATTAGCTTTAGGAAAACAGTCAATTAAATCAGCTATAAATTTAACAACAGATGTCATACGAGGAAAACCTTTTGTAAAAGCTAGAAATACAAGGAACCCAGAATCTGGCTGGAGAAGTTCTACATAATAAAAAGAAGAAACAGAAACTCCAGTGTTCAGAATATCTAAAGTTAATTGATGAAGAACATCGACTCTAGACTTTTTCGACAAGTAATCATGACTCTCCTACAACATAAAAAGTCCTGTCAGTGTACAAAGTATGAGCTAGACTTATGTTCTCTCCCTCCCACACAAATAGTGATTGAGGAAGGTCAGTGGACTGAATATTATCCTTTATCTTCAGTGACTGACAGAGGATCTATAGAATCTTCTATATTGGGATCAGTAGCCCAATCATATCTTCATGTAAAGGCAAATATTGTCAAGCCTGATGGTACTGATATACAAAAGGATGAAGATACTTCTGCACCTGTAAACTTGTTACTTCATTCTCTGTTTTCTCAAGTAGATGTACAACTTATTGATAAACTCATTTCTTCGTCTTACATCCTTTATGCATGTAAGGCCTACATAGAAACTTTACTAAGTTATAATAGTGAAACTAAGAGAAGTCATTGGACATTATCCATATGGATAAAAGACACAGCAAGCAATTTTGATTATCTAGATTTTAATGATGGCGAAAACGACGAAATCAAAGATCGACACATAGATACACGTGGTAGTCAAACAGTCGACATGATTGGTCGTTTACATTCGGATATATTTTTACAGAACAAGTTCTTGCCTAATGGTGTAAGTATGAATTACCGTCTCATACAAAGTAAAGATTCGTTTTGTATTATGTCAAAGTTTTACTACAACACGTTTCCATCTATGCTACAAAAGTCAAGATCAGCCCGACAGTCGTTCTGTCACATGCTAAAGCATTTCAGAAAGGTGCAGCTAAATATCCTTTGAAATATGTAATGTGTAAATTGTTTTCAATTCCCCAGGGAAACGTACAAGCATCTATTGATAATGCTTTTCAAGGTCAAATATCTACACGTCTTGTTATAGGATGTGTTGATAATGACACTTTTAATGGATCTATGAAGAAAAATCCATACAATTTCAAACATTACAGTATAAAGTTCGTGGCAATCAACGTTGATGGAAAACATATTCCCACTCGACCTTTACAGCCAGATTTTGAAACTGAGCTGTATGCACGAAGCTATGAAATATTATTTCAAGATCAAGGAATTGATATAGGGTATGACGAATGCTCGGAAGGATGCACACTCTTTGCCTTTGATCTTGCACCAGATCTACATCATCAACCTGGATCCAAGTCATAAAACTGGTAGCTGCTTGGTCTGTATTTACTTTGGTCGAAATGAAAAAGGAGAATATTTTGATCCATTAGGACTACCTCCACATAATCACAGCATAAGAAAAATAATCAAGAAGAACTATCAAACGTGGACTTACAATCAAAAAGGACTGCAAGTACCATATTCATCTGTGTGTTTACAATACTATATATATTATGGTTTTCATTCTGTCTCTTAGGGCAGCTAAGATTTACATTGCATATGAAAATTTATTGGGTCATGATTGATATATTACCCAACTACTATATATTGGTGATAAGATTACGAAACTTCAGTGTTTGACTTCTTTCTGTTGTTTGTTGCTATTACCTAGTAACCTGAAACAGGAAAAAATTATGTGAAGGCAAGACTGTATTATTTGTTTTCTTTCTGTTCGTTAATGTTACCTGTAACCGAAAACGGAGAAACAGAATTATTAGAAGGTTTCATAGATTGCCCTGTTTCTGTTGTTTCTTGTTGTTACTCAGCAACCTGAAACATGACGAATGACATGATTTTGCCTTATATCTTTTGTTCGTTAATGTAACGAAGCAATTCGAACACGAATAAATGAAATAATTACAATAGTTTGTGTTTGTTTCTATCTCGTTTCCTGGAACTAAAAATGAGTGAACAGAGTGACGAATCCAGGTCAAAACTGTCCAAATTACGCTGTAGATGTCATGATGTAACACAATATACCTATTTACAGGCTCGCTGTCATATCAAAAATACAAAATATAAGCTGAAATCTCCTTTGTTAAGATGCTACAAGGCCTGGTTGGAGATAAAATCTCTCACATTTGCAAACCGTAGATTTCAACTAAGCCCTAGAAATAATATGATACTTAGAACAGTTGTAGTGTATCTTTTTATTCTTCTACTTAAAAGTCGTAAATCTAAATCTATATTAACATATAATGATAACGAAAACCAGTGTCGGCAAGAATCACTTGTGCATCCAGTTCGAAATAATAACTAGCAATGGAAAAACCGGTGGAAACTAGCTGGAGATAGATATCGATTTGGTCGGAAAAAGTCGCTAGGTTAGATTCTCAGGAATAACTTGAATCACAAAGAAAGGAGGATTAAAAGGCAGTTGTCGTATATTTCCAAGAACAAAGAAATTAAATTAATTTGGTCACAGTTTTATTAGAGATATCAGGGACTGTTAAATAATTACTATAAGATCGAACTCTAGCTGACTCATAATAACTTTGTATTTTAAATATAATAGCAAGAACCATCAAACCACATTTTGCAGATGTCATGGAATAATTCTCATGTTGGGCAATAAATAACCAATTATTTTGATTGTGATTTTAAGAACAAAGTACAATTATTTCTTTGGTTTAAAAAGTCATATTAGTTGAAATAACCTAAAAATAGAAATTTCAAAATGTAATTTGCTGGTCAGATCAACTTAAAATACGTTAATACTATAAACACATGGAAAATTAGTTTTTTTTCTATTCCGTAAGGATGTTGGAGATTCAAACTGATAATATTTAGAAATGGTGAAAATCGTTGCAAGAAAAAAAAATATATGTGGTTAACGTTCCAGCCAAAAAAATCTGACCAAATAATTCTTTAACAGACCACACATTCAGATTTATGTGTCTAAAGTTACAAAGTTGAGTACATTATATAAAAAATTGTTTCGAATATGCAAATCAAATAGTCATGTGACAATGTAAAATCGTGATGAAACAGTATAACTTGACTTTTTTTTAGCGTTAGTTGTTACCCCGATTGTTTCATTGCATGACACGTGTGTCGACCCAAGCAATTGAAAGTGGGGAAAAGGTAGAGACGATGATGTCATAGTGCCACACACCAGAGACGATGACATCAGAGGGTGTGTTGCTAGGTCGCCATGAGAGGTGGAAAGTGTCATGCTGCCATATCACTTGACGACAGAAGTTGTCTGCTATCAGAGAGTGTTGCTAAGAGATGTCACGTGACATCATAGTTTCAGTGTTACTCAAAAGAGAGCATGTTGCTAGGGCCACATCTGTTCTTTTAATCTTATCAACTTTATAGTTTTTCTCTTACATACATTTTACAAAGGTGGATGGTGCTACTATATGTGGATAGTGTTACTATAGGCAGATGATGCTACTATATGTGAATAGTGTTACTATAGGCGGATGATGCTACTAAGGACAATGTTACCATAATTCGTAGGACTACTACACGCATTAACACCATGGAGACATTTCATTCTGACTCATTATAACATGTTCAGCCTAAGGCCAATTAGTCTATCTAACTTTAAAACATCTGGGCTGACTAGATGATTAAATGTACAAGCTAGAAACAAATGTTGAACAAGGTATTTGAAATATGTTTACATTATATTAAAAGAGTTGTGACTTAAACTTTTCAAATCTCTAAATATCAATAGTTTGACCTTAAGGTTTAAATATGCTATTCATATAACTATGATTTTCACTGTTCTTTACAAAATAATTAATTTTACACATGTTACTTTATATTTTTCACTTACATATGTTTTACAAAAGCTGGTAATGTTTCTATATGGTCTTTCTAGGCATATTCTGTGTGTTTTTCAAAGGTAGATGGTGTTTCTATACTTCCATAAGACATAACACAGATTTCAACTTGTCTCAACTTGTGTTTAATTTTCCATTTATATATTACATGCGTTTCTATAGGAGGATAATGTTACTGCTGAAAAGTTTTTATCATATCTAATGTTTTCATAAATATTGATTGAGACAGCTGATTGTGTTTTTGATTTAACGTGCTGATTATAGTGTTTGCTTTTATATTTAATCATACGTTTTTACATTTCCTGAGTTTTATATGCAAAACACTTTCCTTTCTATAATTATTATATATATGTAACATCCTGAAAAGGACCTAACTTAAATCTCATGTTTACCTTTATAAGTTGATCAATAAAACATAAAGAATTATTGTTTTCTTTTCTTTATTGAGATATTGTCTCTTGCTAACTGAAACTAACGTTTTTTT